GTATAACTTAAAAAATTTCTTTTGTTGTCTGTTGAGTTTAATTTGTAACTACATGTAAAAAATGGATCTCTGTTGTTTAACGTGGGTAATATGTGTATGAAATTGTGAGACTCGATGGAAAAAGTCCATTCATTATTGAAAAATCAAAAAAAAAATTCTTCATTCATATCAAAAATTGTGTGCAAATCTTTGCTTATAAGTGAATTGAAAGCTAATACATACTGATTTAGCTTTTTTCAAGAAGTTCAAATAGAATAAAATTCAAATATAAATAAATTTTAAAATATGGTAAATTACAGACAAATTGAGCACACTTTTCATGTATTCGGACTTCATATAGATAAACATAAAATCAGATGCTTAATTCGGTATTTTGAATCTTCTCGGGGAACTTTTAAACATTGACGTAGGTCATACATGGTTTCACCGAATCTCAAAATCCAAACCAAATTGTTGAAGTACAATTAATGTCTCGTACTGTCAAAAATAGCAAAAGAACATAGCTCTGGTTTGCCTTTAAATGAGTAATAACAGGTACTGATCATTTTATTTCAAGGTCCAATTTTGAAGACTTTTTGAATTCCATTTTATGCGAATTTATAGGCACAACTTCTGTCCAAAAAGAACTACATGTATTCTTCAACCTTCAAATATTCAAAAATCTTAAAATCTAATCTTCAAAAAGAGTTATGAAAGGACGTATGCTTGAAATTCTTACAGGGTATGTGAATTGAGTGAAACATGTACATAGAGACGGCATGCATCTACTTCCATAGCTGGAAAACTTAACAATAAGCTGCAGTAAGAGCATACGAGATTACCTAACCAAGTTTCTTTGTCACAAAAGGTGGTGGTACGATAAAAATCCGTTATTCATTGATAGCTCTGAATGCCGAGTATACATGTAGGTATTGTATTTGTAGCCCTCCACTGGCAAGTAGTGATGTCTCCATATGAGTAAAAAATTCTCGAGAGGGAAGTCAAACAAAAAAAATAATGCATTTTTTTTCTTTCTGGAACCTTTGATTTTCTTTGTGTTTGAATTTCTTTTCATATGTTCATGGTTTCAAAGTATTTCGGACGTCAGAGCCATATGAATGATTGATTGTATGTTGTTTAACGTTCCTTTTGAAATTTTTTCACTTATATGGAGAAGCTACTACTTGCCGTAGGAGAGCTACAAACCTATTCTCGACACTTAGGGCCATTGAGCTTTGGGGGATCTTCTTCGTCCCAACACCTACTGCGACAAGGGATCTCGGTTTATAGGTCTCATCCGAAGAGCCGGTCTACACGTCCCACAGTGGGATTCGTACCCGCGGCGTAAGGGTCAGCTCCTCCATATGAATGAAGCTGAATGTTCAGAGGATCAGAGTTGCCGAAATATCATCTCTAAGACATGTCGTTCTGTCTTTAAAGTTGAAGCTTTTTCTTAATTTATTACTTTTTACATCAGAATTTGTCAAAATACGAAAAATGAAATGTTCTATATATTACATAAAACACTGTGAAATTTATTTTTTCAAAAATCTATCTATTTTCAGTACTGGTTGTTCTTATGTCGTTGCTTTATGGCTGCTTGACTTACAACATTGACAGGTACGTAAAACGAAAATGCAAGTAAAAACCCCAAATCGTTAGTTATATGATTGAAAATACAACCTAACCGATAAAACAGAAGTAGTTTTAATCTTGATTTTGTAATACCGGGTATCAATTTTATTTTTTAAAAATCCACATTATTACAACCAGTGAATTCTTTTATAAAACTCAAGTTTATTGGGGTATATCGAGCTGAAATATTGATGGAAGTAACCATACTTGTTTCTAGATATTTAATGAAAAAAGTGTTGCTTTTATAATATCATTTATTTTTTAGTACAGTCTGCCTAAACGCATCCTTGATTTTTGCAATGGGTAAAAAGGCCTGTAGATTTGCATTAGAGGATGCAAGAAAACGTTCTGAATCAGGTAATGCATTATATTTCAATTCGACTCTGCTTTACGAAAAAAGGAAATTATCCCAAAAAGTGTCAGAGAAGTGTTTTGCTCTCTCTTGGTTCGTTTGGAAGAAGGTACCTGTGTCTGTATGGTTGTCTGTAGACTAGGATTTTTTCCTCTAAATGACTCGGAGTGTTTTCCGTGTATGTTTATAAAATACATTTACATAATAACCCCTTAATTCTGTATATTTTTGGATAAAAATAACAAGATAATTTTATTTTACTATTTTTGTTGTTCACATGGAATATAATTTTGATTTTAGTAGATATCTCAAAAGATATTTGCACATCGACCAAGGATTGCAGAGATGCATCTAAGACATGTATGTTGACAGGTCATGTCGGCATTTGTATATGCAAACATGGGTACATAGGATTCGGAAACAAGTGTTTCGAGGGTAAGCATAAAATATTGTATGGCAATTAAAAGAAAGAAATGTTTTCAATGCTATGTAAATTTATTTCGCCGTTTTCGGGTAATACTGTATTAAATATCATTTCACTCAAACAGAATAAACATGTTTGCATCGAAAGACTTTTAAAATCGTGTCCTTGATTCCTATAAGCAATCAACAAGTCAGCGATTGCACTCATGTAATAATTTAGACCATGCATATTATTGCATACTTGCAGATCCATCTCATGCTACGTATTTTTTGCTATTAAATCACTGCTGTTTGCTTATTAACGGAATGATCGATATTGCAAAGTATTTTTTTAAAAGATGATTTTTTTAACACTGAGTTCTGATCATTCTATTTACCTCGTCACGACATATTGCGAATTACAATTGTGATCCATCGATAGGGGATTCTTACTCCTCAATGGCCCCTGATCCCAACTTGGTGTTTTTAGAGGTCTGTGTTTGCTCAATTATCTATCTTGATGCAGAAAGGTTTTGAGATAACTCCATAAAGAATGATTATTTAGTACTTTGTGTTATATCAGCCCCTTGAAAGCAATTTCACTCTGGTTTGAGGGGGCACGGCCATATATTTTCAGTCGGTGGTTCTATCAGCTACAAAACTCATTTACAAGCAAAAAAAGGTCATCATACATTTTGTTGTGGGGAGAAGAACATACAATAATGGCTGTTTTCTGCTATATATTATATATCGGCAAAATTATTAAAGAATTACATCCACCCACCCGTACAAAGTGCATGAACACTAAGTTTTAAACAATTTCAAATCACATATGATTGATTATGAAGTTTCTGCTTTAAATTTCAGTGAATAATATTGACGGTGTGATAGTTCGATTGGTTTTTGGTGGACTTGTCCTATGTATTATCCTAACAGCTATCGTTGCGGTTGTAGCAGTAGCTTTATTTCATAAAGCGCGGAATACGAAAACTGAAGAAAAGTATGAAACATTTCTATGCATTTTGTTCATTTTGAGAATGTTTTCAGGGTTTCAATGTTACAAAAATTATTGATTTAGAAAATGTCCCGAGATACCATTGTTCGGCAACACTACAGCCAGGACAAAAACGGATGCATTACCGAGTAATCCGAACTCTCATCGTACAGTTGAAACGAGAGAGTTGAGATTCATGATTTATACCTGAATTGACGACGGGGTTTTTTCCCCGTTGTTTCCCGATCATCACAAGGAGCACACCGCGGGTGTGACTGGTCAGCAGGGGATACTCACTCCTCCATGGCACCTGATCCCACCTCTGATGTTTTGGAGGTCCGTGTTTGCTCTGCTCCAATTTTGTATTGTTTTATGGACTTTAATATTGAATACTGTTCGCTATTTTTATATCCTTCCATATCCTTCATTCAAATCATTTTTGAATAAAAATTTTCTTACTGAATAACAATGTTCCTGCAATAGTTAAATGACTGATAATTGCATCAGTTCTTCAAAAGATGGTCTTAGCTCTATAGAGGAAAGAAACTTATTATTTGTAAAATTAAATTTTAATTAAAAGAAACGCATTTACAATGTAAGAAGGGATGACCTATGTAAAAGGTTACATGTATGTGAAGGCGTGCTATGATTAATTTTCTGGATGTGTCTCGAATTTTTCTTTCTTAATCTTTCAGTAGATGAAATATGATACGTTTCTTTTTCATTTTATTGAAAAATTCATGGAGTTATACAGTTCAATTTAGATTTAATATAGCTGTCGTATAATCTCAATTTCAGAGCATTCAACCCCTGTTGGCGCATTCGTGTATTGAAACGCAAGAGAACAGAAACGTCGAAAGAACCACAGAACGCTCGCTGGTGAATAATGATGAGAATGATGTTGTGATATATCACTGGCAGGAGAAAGAGGACAATTCTTAGTTTCATCAAATATATAGAGGGATTCTATAGAATCCTTAATCAAGTTCTGGCAAATGCACTCTTAACATAGTTAAAATTGTAGGGAATGACACTTTCTCTGTTTTTAATGTTTAATAGCATGCTCAGGAGTATATTTCACTAAATTGAATGCGAATATGTTATCAGGCAAAGACTCAGTTGCGTAATTAATAGGAGAGTATATACATATTATTATTTTAATTTTAGAATTCCTACTTGATCATATACATGTAAAGCATTCTGAAATTGTTATTGAAATATGCTGGAGTTCCTTATTGACAAAACTTATTGCATTGTCTTCTTACAACTTGATGGAATCCCAATTGGATACAGAGATATTTTTTTTAATTTTTTATTAATTTTTTTTATTATTATTTTATTTTATTTTATTTTTATTTTATTTTATTTTTTTTTTTTTTTGATAGAAATGAAAAATGATTAAACTAATTGAATCAAAGTGCAACTTCAAAAATGATTTTGCATCAAATACTGTGAAAAATATACCATGGTTACTTGAATATATAATATATATTGAACCAAGAAAGAAATAGCAATGCAACAAGGGCACTTTAACATTGAAAGGGTTAAATACTGTGGTTTCATTAATATTCGTTGAGCAAAAATTTATGAGGATTCCGTTGTTGAGCAGATCCACAAAATTGAATGTTCATTGACTTAATAATTATCATATTTATTTGTACATGCAAAGCTTTTGTCCACAAAATTACGTTTCCTCGAAAATGTCTGTTTAAAAAAATACACGAAAATTTATGGAACCACATTGTCCAAATGTACATTTTTGTATATTTTGAATCAAGAGAGTAAAAAGCAATACTTCTAGAATATTGATAGAGAACTGAATATTCAAACATCATAATGCCACTTCAAAAATGGTATACCAATAAATACTTTAAACAAAAACAGTTTGTATGTAGGCATATTTTAAGTCAAGAAAATTAAAAGCAATACTGCTAAGGCATTTCAAAAACGATGCTATTAACACAGATTAAAAACAAATGCGGCGTCTTTTTCTTTTTGGCTTCGGAGACGTTGGATTAAACATTGCAGCAGTCTGTAAAAAAATTATTTATCAATATAAATTGGACAAGAAAACGTTATTGTGCATGCTTCATTATTTGTTAAAATAATATCTTTATTCATCAAGCAATGTAGATCATTTTATTTGCGCGACACATTATTTTAGCGAGATAGTCATTGACTCTTTACAAGCGAGACAAAATTTTCACGAGTTGTGGTTATTGCTCTATATAATCCTAAAGAATACTATTATACGCGAAAATAAAGTTCTCGCAAATAAAAAGTGATTTAATTGCATTATATATCTTATCTAATCAGTTTTTGTGTTCTTGTTCTGTAGATTTTGATCACCTACGTACAGTATTTAAAGCCATATTGATTGCAAGTAATTGATATTGGGGTATAATTTCTTTTTTTTTTAAACCCTCTTTACAAGGTACATTAAAGATTTCTGTCTCTATGTATTTTTCTTCAGATAGAGTGATCTGCCCTTAGATCTAAATTCCAACAAATAATAATTTTCAGTAAATTAATTAAATTATATTCAGTATTCTGAACACTTTAAAAGGCCAAGGTAGATTAATTAACATTTTGCACGGGTGTAGGGAGGGTAAAAGGGTTTTGTTGGTCATCCTTATCCACAAATTTCACGAAATGATGAAAATTTGCTTGCAAACGAACATTAGCCCTAACGAATTAAAATGATTCCATGATACTCTCTCACTTAATTACCTGTTCCAGTCTATCGGCAATAGCATTTAATTCTTTTACTGTTTGAGTCACGGTGTTGAGATGGTGTCGAGCAGCGTGCACTGCATGTACCTCCCTGTTGGAGTATTCTGGTTGGTCGTTCTGGGTACCGTACGTCTAAAATATAATGAATCGAACTTTCAATTCTAAATCATGAAAAGAACATCAAGTTACTTCTCGTATTATAAAACATTATTCTCTCTTTCATTTGCCCGACAAATCCATGTATGTTTAAGAAGTTTTTTTTTCCTTAGGCGAATCTTTCTTGTTTATAACAAAAAACAGGGATAAATTTTATTACTTAAGAGGAAGGATGGTGAGAATTCTTATATGTACACATATGAGATAAAATGATAACTGGTACCAAATCCATAACTGAGAACAGACTTCAGTGAATGTACATACATGTAGAGATAATTTATAATGTTTGGTGCAAAAATCATTTATTTTCGTTGACATGAATTTTTGTGTATTTTGCAAAACAGACATTTCCAGGATAAGTTATTTCGTGAACAAAGGCATTATCTGACAAATAAATATCATATTTATGAAATCAATGAACATTTAATTTCGTGAATCTGCTCAGAGAAATCATCAAAAATTTGGGCTCAACGAATACTGATGAAACCACAGTATCTAACCCTTTCAACACTATCATATGCATCGTTGACATATACATGCCTTCGCAATATTGATTTTACTTTCTACACACATATATATATATATATATATATATATATATATATATATATATATATATATATATATATATATATATATATATATATATATATATATATATATATATATATATATATTAATGTAAACCTAGCAAGATTCTATTTGACTTTTGAAGTGGTCGAGCAAATAAAACCAAATTTTCACTGAATACATGTGTTTGACTATTTTACAAAATTTCAAATTTTTAAATATATTTGCTGAATTTAAGATAGTCAAAATTTTAATTTTAACTTAAGTCTCCTCTCACTTCATGGTTTTTGGAACTAGGCTTCTGAGGAAAATTGCTGCAAAACACTGTTGTACCATTAGTATGAAGCATTCCACTAAGGGATGTTTAGACTGATACTTCGGATGAGACCATTTAGTCAAGATCTTGCGTCGCAACAGGAGCATTAAATTTATAATTTTATAGCTAATTCAAGTATTCTTATCATTATACATGGTTAACAAAGATGAACAAACTTAAAGAAAATATTTGCATGTATGTTTCCTTTTCAAAAGTAATTACTTTTTTTATTTTCTTGCATTTCGTTGACATGCATGATTTTTCCTTGCTTTGGTATAGAAGACATTTGTAAAATCAAGGTAATTTATTGCGCATACCTTTATGTGCGTTACAATAAGCTAAACCATTATAATGATAATAATCTTTATAATTATAAAATGTAATCCTGCCAGGCTAATTTATATTTTTCTTTTTTGGCTTTAAAATCTTGTTTTGAAACTTGTTTATGGATTACACGTGTACAAGTACTTGTGGACAGGACCCCCTACATTTATTTATAATGTATATCATAGCAAAAACCTAAAAAAAAAAATAATTCCAAAAAATGCGTTCTTCAAAAGTTTACCCCACTGCACATTATGTACAGTGGGGAGTTTTCATTTGGTACGATTATTTTTTGGGATTTTCTCGAATTCAAGAACGTTAATAGACGTCCGTTTGATTCATATTCAATATCTGCCTTCCTCAATTACTTTTCTTTATTTAATGCAGTTAAATGATTTAAGAACATTTGGATTTTTGGAGGGTGGGAGTATTTTTATGAAAACAATTTTTATTTCTTATGAGTTATCAATAGGACGAAACTTAAAAATGATACGCAGACAGTCAAATTAATAAATAGTAGAAGTAGGATGAATCCTAGTAACCATACTGTATTATGCATAAGAAATTTTAAAAATCTACGAATTTTAAAACTCTTTTTAATATTCGGATCTAGACTAGAAGTAAAATTTAGCTATCAAATAATTTTTATTTATCAGAAAACATGAAGCAAGGCCATTTGCCAAAAAAACTTTAATGTTCATCTATTTTATGATTCCTTCGGGCATTGGGTACCATTGGTGTAAAAAGGATTCTAAAAAATAATACATAAATGAAGAAAACTTATCGAAACAATTTTCAAAGAAAAGGATTTGGGCTGTGGCACGGGGGAGCATTGTTGCCTTCAGTATTGAGGTTTAAGCTTTTTTTCATTCACCTGGCTGTTATGTTCATCACTTCCTTCCTTATCTTGAAGAAGTCGGGATGATTCTGTTGGTTCTTCTCCAGTTGTGTTCGCATCCTTCTCCTTTATAAAGTTCTTGATAACTTAAAAATTGTGCCATTCATTTACACGTAGGATTGCTTTTTTAAAGTACAATAATTAGGTAGATTTGAATGTCAAGTTTGCTAACTTTAAGTTTGTGAAATTCAAAATGGATCAATTCGTGGTAGAATAAGGAAAATGTAACGAAATGCAGCGAGGAATATCAATGAAATTTTGAGTATACTTAAGTTGGTTTTAATATGCAAAATTGAAATAAAAGGAATTTTCATAATTTTGTAAATGCTATGATATTTGAATATGGCAAGGATATGCAATCTTTTATGTAAGTGTACTTGAAAAGGAAAAATTAAGGACTAAGTAAGAATTGCAATAAATTAGCGTGACTGTGTGTTAATGTTTGATTTAAGTTTTCGATTACATGAAACAAATTTAAAAATAATGGACGGAAAATAAAGAAAACTGCAAAATAAGAAGAATAAAGATGTTTTACCTTTATTTCACAACAGCTGAAACATGATGAGAGACAATTCTGTAACATCAAAATAACATTGCAATTTCATAAAGCCAATGCTCCAAGACGTGGGCTTTTAGGAGAATTTTTTAATATATTTTTTCTTAATATTCAAAATGGAACATCAAGTGTTAATCAATTAATTGGCATATCTACAGGGTCATTTTATGCATGCATAATGTGAACCCATCTCTTTGAGGCAGCAGCTTTTATTTTGCATTGATTTGATCTAAAACATCATGCTGATTTACACATAAACACTGACAATTTAATTTGAGTTAAGTTGACTGCTTAAATTTGAGTTATTAGAATAATTTTCGCTTAGGGTTGATTGAAAAGATATACAATATTCAAGAGGTGGGATCCAGGAGGAGCAAACATCCCCTGTTGACTGGCCACTTTCGACTCGAGGTCTATACAATGATCAGACAAACGTCAATTAAAGTAAAACTGTCGATCATGCATATAATTTTCAATTTTTGGTCACGTTTTCAACTAAAGACGGGAAAAAAATTGATTAATTATCCATTTTTAATTTTTTTCAAGTTATCAAACGGAAATATTTCACAATTACAGGAAACACTTCGGGGTTTGTCTACATTTTAAGAGCTTTTGCATTTCTTCAATATTCTACATCTTGAGTCTCAATAGCTTCCGTATTTTCTTCAATGGTGTTGTGAGTGGATTCTTTTCACTTTACTGTGCATTAGATTTGAAGACTGCATGTTAATACAAGCTATATTATTTTTAGAAACTAAGTTAATATTTTTGTTTCATTATACTTGTATGTTTGTAAAACACTTTTTTG